AAGCTGTGATATAAACGAACGCTATTGGCTATTTGAAAAAGGGGCGGGACTGCTTGATATGTCCCGCCCTGTCTTCCTGCTTCAGTTAAAATGACGTCAACACATAGAGTAACGCTGCGTATTTCTAAGCATTTCAGGGGACCTTTAAGTTCTAAAAAGGTTCTGATACCATTTTCATCCCACATACTGTACATAAGATGACAGATATGCTTTTGTAGTGAACAAACCGTACATTATATTGGCGCTATAAGGTTTCTTAACTCCGTAAGATCTGACATATGAAATAATAGTTAGCAAAATCAATTGTTTAACAGTAGGGGAAAAAATGGAGTGTTATTTGATATACCAAGCCTTTATGGCTCATATAATATGATGTAGGAGAATATGGAGCTCAAACTGAGCAACAATGTGTAATTTGGTCCAGTTGCTAATATTTATATGGCCAAAGAGATGAAATTCTGATAGCTTGTAATGTACATCAGTGAGAGCTTTTAAACCACAAAAGAGACTACTTACATAAAATGCATATAAATATTAGGCCTAGTGCTTTAAACATGTAATTTTATGATCAAATTGAGTTTTTCCCCCCGAATTTTAACATGATTAAACTGGAAGCCAGTCCAGTGCGTGTTTATCTTAAAATATATTAATACTATTATAAAAGTTATTCTCAAGTTCCCCTAATAAAAAATGAGCAAATATTATCACAACCTGAAAGTGGATGATTTTACAATTACACTAAAAGGCCTTTTACTTGCTAACAAGCTATCAGTCAGACAACAGAAGGCATGTAGTAGATTGTGTACTACAGGTTTTTCAGGTTATGTTTTGATTATTTTGATAATTTGCATACCACATATTTTACAGTAGGCTTTATTAAAGTTGAAGAACAGCTGCCAGTATTTTCACATTATTTCCAGAACATTTTTTAAATGGTTGAATGCAGTTAAGAAAATCATTTGCAGTTTTAATTTTCCTCAAAGCTCTAGTTTTGGCACTGATCATCTGCAACCAAAATGCAATGTTTCCAAATGTTTTCTCTCACCGCACAGGACACAATGGACTCTGTGCACAAGAACCTGGAGCGAAGCCGTCAGCTACAGACGACGCTGCGGGCGTTCGAGGCTCGTGACCGTTACCTGCTGGAGGATAACCTGTGGCGGGTTTCCTTCTGGTCCAGTGTCAGTCTGCTGGTCATGGTCAGCGTGGCCCTCACCCAGATCTACACGTTACGCAGATTATTCAGTGACAAACACAGAGTTTGTACATAGCAGAGATGAACTGGAGAGGGACTATGCTGGACTAATGGATTCTGTAAATGAAGACGTGTGGAAACTCTCAGGTCCAAAAAATATCCCCCTAGTTTCTGCTAGAATTGAAGTGTTTGGAGCTCTCAGTGAATCTGGCCATTGACCATTTCTCAGTGTTTTACCTTTAAGTTCTAAAAAGGTTCTGATACCATTTTCATCCCACATACTGTACATAAGATGACAGATATGCTTTTGTAGTGAACAAACCGTACATTATATTGGCGCTATAAGGTTTCTTAACTCCGTAAGATCTGACATATGAAATAATAGTTAGCAAAATCAATTGTTTAACAGTAGGGGAAAAAATGGAGTGTTATTTGATATACCAAGCCTTTATGGCTCATATAATATGATGTAGGAGAATATGGAGCTCAAACTGAGCAACAATGTGTAATTTGGTCCAGTTGCTAATATTTATATGGCCAAAGAGATGAAATTCTGATAGCTTGTAATGTACATCAGTGAGAGCTTTTAAACCACAAAAGAGACTACTTACATAAAATGCATATAAATATTAGGCCTAGTGCTTTAAACATGTAATTTTATGATCAAATTGAGTTTTTCCCCCCGAATTTTAACATGATTAAACTGGAAGCCAGTCCAGTGCGTGTTTATCTTAAAATATATTAATACTATTATAAAAGTTATTCTCAAGTTCCCCTAATAAAAAATGAGCAAATATTATCACAACCTGAAAGTGGATGATTTTACAATTACACTAAAAGGCCTTTTACTTGCTAACAAGCTATCAGTCAGACAACAGAAGGCATGTAGTAGATTGTGTACTACAGGTTTTTCAGGTTATGTTTTGATTATTTTGATAATTTGCATACCACATATTTTACAGTAGGCTTTATTAAAGTTGAAGAACAGCTGCCAGTATTTTCACATTATTTCCAGAACATTTTTTAAATGGTTGAATGCAGTTAAGAAAATCATTTGCAGTTTTAATTTTCCTCAAAGCTCTAGTTTTGGCACTGATCATCTGCAACCAAAATGCAATGTTTCCAAATGTTTTCTCTCACCGCACAGGACACAATGGACTCTGTGCACAAGAACCTGGAGCGAAGCCGTCAGCTACAGACGACGCTGCGGGCGTTCGAGGCTCGTGACCGTTACCTGCTGGAGGATAACCTGTGGCGGGTTTCCTTCTGGTCCAGTGTCAGTCTGCTGGTCATGGTCAGCGTGGCCCTCACCCAGATCTACACGTTACGCAGATTATTCAGTGACAAACACAGAGTTTGTACATAGCAGAGATGAACTGGAGAGGGACTATGCTGGACTAATGGATTCTGTAAATGAAGACGTGTAGAAACTCTCAGGTCCAAAAAATATCGCCCTAGTTTCTGCTAGAATTGAAGTGTTTGGAGCTCTCAGTGAATCTGGCCATTGACTATTTCTCAGTGTTTTAATTATAAGAGTTTTCTGTAGAGTGCTAACACTGCTGAACACTAAATTTACTTGAAGTGCTGTAGAAACATTTGAATGTAATTTTGTTCTTGACTTTTAAAACACTGTGGTTAAAATAATTTATGAGACTTTTGAAATAAATAACAGTGTATATAATATAATGTCAAATATCCATAAGAAATTTACATTTCTTATGGATTTATACAGCAGGAAAATAAAAATCCAAGGGAACGTTTTGCTTTGAATGGTTTATTATACAGCACATTAGCATCTCATTTGGAACAAATGCAGCTCAGTCGTATGTGGCATAGCAAGTGCAAAATGAATTTAAAACTCATCTGGGTTATTGATGTTACATTTCAAGTCAATTGCTAACTGCAATGAATTGAGTTATTACTGTACTGTGGGAATCAGAATCACATTGTTTCATAACAATACTTTCAAGATTGTTGCCATTAATCTATTTGTTTTCTAGATGTTAATCTGTAGGTTAGTGTTTCTTATATTCTTCCATCACCCTGCAATAATATACAAATATTCTCATTAAACAACAAGCCTTGTAAAAAATTATGTACAACCATATTCATTACAAACTACCTATAAATAAGAGTCCCAAGAGTTCAATGAAACAATTCACAAGGCGGGATGCTTAGTTAATGACTCAAATATTCATCTTACATTATTTATTCAGTAGACATTTGGCACTCAGGTCATCACTTGTAAATCAACTTTTGCAAGTTGGGTCACGTTCCTTGTCAAGCAATCATATTCTGGTCCTGATCTGGCAGGAGCCACCCACTCCTATCAACTGCAAATGACATGTTTATCTCCCTGGATGCATTCAACTTTACTTTTTTATGGCCTTCTCTTGCTAACTTCCCTCCATCTTGTTGACTCGGATATATGCCATTGCTCGCAAGAGTGCTCACTACTGTTGGGAACTTTGCTACTGGTTGGAACATCCGAAGCTGTTGATCATTTGAATTTCTTAGAATCAATACAGTAAACTGTGTATCATGTTGGGGCGACAGCCAGTCCATATAAACTTTCCTCGGCCACTTTACGAAGTGGAACGGACTTCAAAATGGCAGCATGGATTCCCCTGAGAGGACGTGCTTAGGAAAGTTTGCAAATGGGTGTCTAAAAGTCAAGTGGAACGTGCCTCCTGTAGTCCCCTGATGTATTTTTGTAGACCAAAACCTGGAAATAAGTTTGCATTTTACACCTTCTGGTTCCATCATACTGAAGGTTTTTTTTAATGGGTTTTTGGTTGAAATAAGGTCTGTGGTGAACACAAGCTCATGTTCACACGTTTTATTCAACGCCTTAAAATACATAAGTAAATACACAAGTGGTTAAATGGTTGTTGGGGACGTTAAATGTCATCACACCAACTCATCTATTCACTAGCATAATGGCAGTGATGCCTAAGTTTAATTTTGTACATGTCGTGATTGTGATTAGGTGTTAACATTCAGTTGTGTTCATGTGTGATAAGTTTCATGATGAACCAAATGTGTAAGAATCAGCTTTTGTTGGTAACAGAGCTTATTTTCTGCAGTAATCCAAAAGCCAATGGAACAATTCTATTTGGTTTTTGTCGAGGGAACCAGGGTGATGCAAACTTATGGGTTGGCCTACAAAAATACAGCAAGTCATCAATGCAGCACTCTATTTCTTCTATTCCTTTGTAAATATTTCAAAGTTTGGAAAAAAAAAAGTTAATTATATTGTTTTTAATTTACAAAATCAATGACTCCAAGTCAATAGTTTTACATTGTAACATTATTTCAGATTCACCATCATTCACACCGCTTCATATCTGGTTTTAGTTTAAAATCAAAGTTTGTAATGTCGCAATTCTGAGCTGGTTTGATTAGGTTCAACACTGAACATTTTGATTTATTTAATCTATGGAGAAACCTACTTCTAGAACCAAAAAAAAAAAAAAAAAAAAAGGTAGGTCAGCACCTTTTCAGATCAAGATGCGAGTAAAGTTCAAACAAGACTGAGTAATACCTAGAAAAATCTCATCTTTGGTCAATTTTTTTTAAATCGCATAGGAAAATTTAAGTTTTCAATCCAATCCAATTGATTGGTCCTTTGATATCCTATTGATATCCTTTGGAAACAGGCATCATGTCCTCATGGTGCAGTAGAGCAGCTGTATGGTGATCCTTCTCCACTGCACTGGATCAGCTTCACCACTGGTTCTCTGGCAGTCGTGGAGGTGGACGTCTGTTCAACAACCACAACCAAAAGCACAGATCAGCAGTGAGAATTTCATTTGCGTGCTGTACAGAGTGAAACATGTATGTTTACAGTAACTCAACAGGCTCTGATGAGCTATGAAATACTGAGGTTTTCATTATGACCGTATACGCTGTGTGAATGTGGAGGGGGGTTGGGGGTAGATTAATATCTAAAAAGTTATGTACAATCCACTTATGTAGAAACAGCTGATTTTGACAGAAAAGCGGCTAAATATGAGCCTTGCATTACTCATCAGGTCACATGCTGATAATAAAACAACACTTGTCATTAGTCAGATGTGGTCTTCCATGATGACATAGGATGCCTTCTCTCTCTCTCTCTTTTTATACTTCCACTAAGGAAACGTGCTCATGAGTCATACATAAAAGGTTAGCTTTACAGAGGAAGAAGAGATAATGAAGCCACGTGGTTCTAAATCCTGTTCTTGAGACCCTCAACTCTGCAATTGTGATTCATCAGCTCATTACATGCTCATGTGCTCCATTCCGATTGACATTGCATCACAGTATCCATGATTTATTCATTAGTGCATGCTAAAAACATAGCCTACTTGTGCTATGACTTTGTGAAGGTTCCCTTTCAACATGTTCAGTTAAAAAGTGAGGGTACTGGGACTGTAACCTATATACCAGCCTAGAAACAGTAACTAATGGATTACCTGTATTTAGCTTTTTGCTAACACTTACGCATATCACATAGGTGTCAATATGCAATAGAAATAACTCAAAAGTATGGACTTTCCTAGTAGGTGGGGAATCGTTTGGAACCTCACGATATGATTCAGTTAACGGCTCGATTCAAAACCATGAGTTTACAATGAACACAAACACATTTTTAATGGTATTGCGTGGATATATCACTGACTTAATAACCTTTGATTGACCAATGCGTTCACACTCGCTTAAAAAATGTGTTTGCTATGAACAAGAGCTGCAATTACGCCATGTTGTAATTACGGTAATTCTGAGATGAGAACACGTGACATTCTACTCTGAGCTTTTCCTCGGACACTGAGGTATCGCCAGTGGCAAGTATAGGTATCTGCAGGAAAGTAATGGGAGTTACTAGATCGGGGCGTTTTTAGACCATGTTTCCTGATTGGCTAACATAATAATGACGGTAGGTTTAGGGGTGGTGTTAGGTAAGGGGTATCATTTTGATTGCATGATTGAGAAACACCCTGCAGTTTGAAAACACCCACAAATTTTGAAACGCCTACTTTTGCTCTGCAGAGACCTCAATCTCGCCAGTGGCACCAATGAATCTGGTGTCGGTCAGGTGGTATAGCGTTCACATGGTCCAAACTCTCAGAAAGTTTACAGTTTATAAATTAAAATTACGAGTTCTTCGAACATGTGAACACTTTGGCGTTGATAGTGTTCCCACAGAAACGCATGAATCCAGTCCGAGTAGAACATCACGCGCTGTCGTCTCGAAATTACGGTAATTGATAACTATACAGTGAAGGCAACTAAAGAGTTTTGAATGGTTCTAAGTGGATGTGCTAACTTTTAACACCTATAATCGGCCATTGCATTCACATTCTCAATTGGTTACTATCTTCAGCGCTTCAAAAACACATTTGCGATGAACAATGAGCGTTACTGAGTGGATGCCTGCCCAACTGACTTAAAAATGCAGGAGTGTTCATATATCAATGGATACCAAATTTACCTGGTAGATACTCAGTATTGCTGGTACGGCCGGAAAACTGGTATGCTTATATATTTTCTTTAATTTTGACAAAGTTCTTGTGATATTTTACAGTCATAGCATGCGCTCTCTAAATTTCCCAGGTGCTTCCAATTTTTTCAGACATTATCGCGTCATCTAATATATAGAAAATATTTTTTTATTTTTTAATATGTAGGCCTAAATCAATAAGAACCAGTAGAAGACAGAATTACCCACACTCCTTATAAAATAATATAAGAAATACCAGTTTGGAATATGCAATAACTGGAAGCGACCGAAAGCCTTGCACATTAAAGTTACAAATGGCTGCACCCACTCTTATGTTAAAAATAATGTGTATAGTACATGTCGTAAATGCATAGTGTGCATTTTTGTTTGTAGTTAACACTCTCCTACTATATAGTAGGCAAAAAAAAAAAAAAATATGGGAAAAGAGTAGTATGTCCAAATTCATAGTATTCATGAAAAGCATGAATTTCTGCAAGTGTGTATAGGCTTTGTAGTACATTCAGATTTCATTTATTCTACAGAATCAACCTGATCTCACAAGAAAATGTGACTATTTTACAAGGTGGTGATTTCGTATGATTTGAATTGTACAAAAGCATGCGGTTTATAGAAAAAAAGTAAGCATGAAGGTCCACCTCTAAACATCACTATCAGAGGGGCATAAGTAGATCATATGATGAGATTGTGTTGCACATTCATGCTGTATAGAACATACAAACTAAGTACTTATTCAAAAGAAGGGCATGTGGTTTCGGACACAGTCAGAGATTAGTGAGACTACATTTGATTTATTTCCATGAGAACACAGAGGAAGAGATGCATGTTGGGAGAGACATGTCATGGAAAATCAAGCAGACAGCGAGGAGACGTGACACAAGGAAACACCGACCACCAGAGCACCAGATCTTTATTATACACAACACCTTTTATTATCATCTCACTTCCAATTCTCATTGTGCATTTTGCTCCAAGTCCATTTTACACAGGCACTTGACAATGATTTGTTATTCCAAAAGCATAAAAAAGGATGCTAAATATGTCCTCAGTCCCTCACTCCATACAAAAGGACACAATTATTAGAGAGAGAGAGACGGGGATCGGGTCACCATAACCAAAGACCAGAGGGAAAGTTATGGCTGCAGTGATCTTGGCTTTATCCAGTTCTTAACAGTTGTTGAAGTAATTTGAAATCGAAAAACATACAGCTGGATACAATTTTAATTCAAGCCTTGAACTGACTGAAGAAGGAGCAGCGGTTGCCATCACTGTAGCCATAACACACAGGAGTGATTAAAGAGCGTTTGGCCCTGAAATCTGCAGCTAGTTTTTAAGTTTCTTCTCAAGTCCGACTCCAAGCCTTCGATTATTTACAGACGAATCGATGCCAAAATCAAAGACTCGCTCCCGCTTACACCAAATCCCTATTCTTATCCTCAAGTTAATCAAGAAAACGAAATTCGTCATGGCCCATTTCCTTGCACGCACATCAATAAAAGCAAACGTCAAAGATTCTGCAATCAAAACAGGATCAAAAGGAAACCAGCTGGACCGCGTTCACTCTGAATCCTGTTCAACCATTGTTAACGCAACCGAAGGGGCATAAATCTGTCGATAGCGAAGAGTATCTGTCGTTCTACTCAGTAGCAAACAGTTTGTGAAAAATGCAAATCAACACAAAGACAAATGCCAAGGTTATAAATAATACACTCAGAAATACGCTTGTTAGTACATCTACTATGATCTCTATGTTAAAGATTCACTGTTTTTGCGTCCAGAAAGTTCCCTGTGTCTTTGTAGGCAAGAGCTGACTGGTTCCATAAAGCAAATGCCCCCAGACCCCAAATACACCTGCATGCACCATGTTTAGCGACCCTGTGTTTGAGTGCATTCCCACTTCCTGTAGCGTCCTGATGTTTTTCCCGCTCATAAACCCTCCCCCGACCCTCACTATCCCTGAATGCGAAACTAAAAGCGCCTTGCAGATTAATTGAAGTTACAATGATCAGAACGCTAAGCTAGCGTAAACTGTTACGAGATTTGGAGTTGGATGTTACCTGAGCTCTGACGAGTCGGCCCGTCGCGAGTGGTTACCGTGCTTTCCAGGATTATATTCATGTACACAAATTATTATTTGTATAAACATTTCATTACAGAGATTTGCATACAAACTGCACCTCCTCTTCTGACTATCTAAGAAATTCCCATCACTCGAGAACTAGAAGTGCTTTTCAAGAACCAAATTTCCCGACACAACAGAAAGAGGATGTTGCTTGTCAACTACAAATATGAGTGTCAACATCTAGTTTTATTTGACTTGTGAACTTGTATGTTTGCTTTTCTCTGATCGGTTAGCTGCTATTGAGTCATAATTAACAGTCGCTTGGTACTAAGTGCCATTTTGAAGGATATCAAACATAAACGGCCAACTGAACATGAAAAACAAAGACATCAGATCCAAATCAATCCCACATAGCAATAACGACAACGGTCATGGTGTCTTATTTCAGCATATCAAGTTAGAGAGTCAAGAAAACACAGAATGAAAACAAAAAACACATGAAGAAGTGTGTCTATAACAAGAAAGAGTCTTCAACCACCCTTAAGTTACCCAAGAACAGGAAGGAGACAGGCTAGTTTAACAGCAACTAGCTTGCACAGTGCTTGTATACATCTTATCCCACATTAAACCACTAGTCAGAGAGGAGGTATAATGAGTCTAATGTTGGTTCGTCTACACAAGTTGAGTAGGATACCCCCTGGTGGTCACCTGACCTATGTGAGTGATGAAATGACTGAAAGTTGGAGGCCACTACACCCTTTAGTTCACTCTACATTTGAACAAAATAATAACAGCAATAATAATTTTATTTGAATATGTATGTCCTTAATTTAGACCTCTGGGCTTTAAAAGTAAGGATGTGATTAGCAGTGCTGATCAGAGGACAGTTTGAGTGGATTATTTAGGTCTACTGGTCAGGCTTTATGTGTAGACACACGTGCACATGTTTCAGTGCAGTTCTCCAGCCCTTCCTCTCTCTTTCTTTCTGTCAGCCTATGGTGGCCAGCGCATAGGTCTAGTCTAGCAGGGAGGGCTCGGCGGGGCGGATAATGGTGGGCCGGTTGGGAGCGCCAGGGGGTCTTCTGCTGTAGGAGGAGAAATAGTGAGAAACAAAGGTGAGACATACCCACAACCACAGGGAAATGATGAAGGAGAAGGGATAAGTAAGTACACTAGATGAGAAGAGATGAGAAAAGATAAAAAAAGAGAAGCGATGAGACCAGAAGAGATGAAGAGAGACAAGACTACATGAGAGGAAATGAGTTGAGATGAGACTACGTGAGAAAAGACGTGACTAGATGAGATGAGAAAAGACAAAAGGAGACTAGATGAGGCAAGAAGAGATGAAAAGAGACAAGATGGGACTAGACAAGAATTGATGAGACTAGATGAGATAAGACAAGATGGCGAGACAAAACATGAGGAATAAACCAGATTTAATGAGACTAGATGAGATGAGATGAAAAGAGACAAAAGATGAGGATTCAAGGCTAGATATAAGACCACATAAGAGATGAGACTAGATGAGAAGAAATGAGAAAAGACACAAGGAGAAGAGATGAGGCAAGAAGAGACGAGTAGATGAGATTAAAATAGATTAAAAGAGACAAGACTACCTGAGATGAGATGAGATGAGATTTGGGACTAGAGGAGACAGACTTAGAGGAGATGGGAGCAGAAATGAGACATAAAAGAGAAAAGATGAGACAAGAAAAGGTGACTAGAATAGATGTAAAGACGCAAGATGAGGAGAGACAAGACTTCATGAGACTAGATGAGATGAGAAGAGACAAGATGAAGAAATAAGACTAGATAAGACAACATAAGAGTTGAGACTAGATGCGAAGAGATGAGAAAAGACAAGAGCTGTGATTAAGCAAGAAGAGATGACTAGAAGAGATTAAAAGAGACGAGACGAGATGAGAAGAAATGAGAAAAGACAAAAAAGATCGGGAGAGAAAGGACTAGATGAGACAACCTAAGAGGAAATGAGAAGAGAAATGAGACATAAAAAAGAAAAGATGAGACAAGAAAAGGTGACTAGATGAGACTAGAAGAGATGAAAAGAGACAAACGATGAGAAAACAAGACTAGATAAGACAACATTAGAGTTGAGACTAGATGCGAAGAGATGAGAAAAGACAAGAGCTGTGATTAGGCAAGAAGAGATGACTAAAAGATTGAGATTAAAAGAGACGAGACGAGATGAGAAGAAATGAGAAAAGACAAAAAGATCGGGAGAGAAAGGACTAGATGAGACAACCTAAGATGAAATGAGAAGAGAAATGAGACATAAAAAAGAAAAGATGAGACAAGAAAAGGTGACTAGATGAGACTAGAAGAGATGAAAAGAGACAAACGATGAGAAAACAAGACTAGATAAGACAACATTAGAGTTGAGACTAGATGCGAAGAGATGAGAAAAGATGAGCTGAGGAGAGATGAGAGCGGATGAGACTAGATGAGATGAGAAAAGACAAAAGGAGAAGTGATTAGGCAAGAAGAGGTGACTAGATGAGACTAGAAGAGATGAAAAGAGACAAGATGAGACAAGACAAAAGATGAGGAAGGACCGAACTAGATGAGGCTAGATAAAAAGAGATAAGAAATGACAAGATGAGGAGAGATGAGACTACATGAGATGAGATATAAAAAGAGAAGAGGTGAGGAGCAGGCGAGAAGAGCCTAAATGAGAGTAAATGAGAATAGACAAGAACAGAAGAGGAGGCTAGATGACAAAATTTGAAGAAATAAGACGAGAAGAGATGAAATGAGATAAATGACAAGATGAGATGGGATGAGTCGAGAAGTTAGGTGAGACTATGGGAGACAAGAAGTGGCTATGTGATGAGGACACAAAAAATCAGAAGAGAAGGCTAGAAAAGAGACAAACTTTGACAAATCAAGATAAGAAAAGACAGGAAGAGACAAGACAAAAGAGGCTAGATAAGACTAAATGAGAAAACATTAAACAAATTGAAACATGAGATGGCATTAAAAGAAACCAGGCAGAAAGGACAGGAAGAGATAAGACAGGAGGCCTGCTGGGGGGCGGGGCAGATGTAGGCGGTCTGCGCTGTGGGGTGGGGCTACACAGGGCAGGAAAAGAAGAAATATAGTATTAAAACAGTTATGAAGGACACTAAAACCATTTAGTAGGTACACTACACTTAAGGCCCTGTATACTCATGGTGAAGTTTTTCAGGTAAAAATCAGATGGTTAATTGTGGTTTTGGAACATGACAAACACTTCGTTTTTGAATCCTTTAAACTTTTCCAGTCATTTTTCCTTAAAATAAATGTCTTAATTGAAAAACACAATTGCTTAGTTCTAATGAGTAATATTGTTTCAAATCAAGAAACAGGTTTGTGTTGTCTGATAACATTAATAATATAACTTTTTTGTCTCTTAGAAATACACATTTGATAGTACATTGCGTTAGGATGCAGATGTAGATTTATGTTCATTATCAAACTCAATCTGTAAAAATTGTAGCAATCTCATTTTTATACGGTGAAATTGAATTATTCTGACTGTTTTTTTAAACCATTGGTCTTCCATAGTAGCATACATTTAGATCATTATAATCAGAGTTAAAACCACAAATATAGCACCTCAATACCATGGTAAAAATGTAATATGGCTTCTAGGTATTTGTATGAAAAACAGTAGTCTAAATACATTTAGTATACATGCATAAACGCTATTGCTTAATCACAAAAATACTAATTATATTCGATTACTCCTCCTTTAATAGATTTAATACATGTCTACATTAATAATATAATAAAATTCGACAAATACCCACATTTCTAACACAATACCATGGTGCAGTTAGTGGTGATACTACAGTAAAGCTATGGTAAATTATGGCGATTTGTAGATTAAAAAGCGGATAAACGGTCCGAGTGGCGCACTTTAATTGACGCCTTTGCCTCATAAACATTATATCGAACATTTATCAAACTCTTATCATTTATCGAGGAAATTTATATCGCACGATAATTATCATTATTGATTTATCGCCCAGCCCTAGGCCATAGTTTCCCAAAAAAAGAAAATTTGATTTTTATTTAGTAGTAGTCTATGCTGTATATAGGCAATTCATTCTGAACATAGAAAGCCACAGTAATGGGAATGTAACTCTTTCCCAGACAGCAGCGCGCTGTTCATTTTCTGACCTCGTCTCTGGAATCCAGGTATCGTTGACGGGCGGAGGCGCAGGAGTGGACACAGTGCTGGTGCTTATGTCACCGATGATGCTGAGGGCCTCTTTTATGGCGTGGTACATACGCAGCATCTCGTCTCTGCGCTGGGCCTGGTCAGCAGACTCCTCCATCAGACTGTTCTGATCTCCTGAGGAGTACAAGTACGCCAGCAGCTCTGAGTGGATGAAGTCTTTAGCCTGGGGACAGAAAGACGACCGAACAGGAACGAAAGGTTAATGAAGAGGTGAGGATGTTTGCAATATGTTAGAATTAATATGTTTCAAGATGAACTGTTGTGTACTTACGCCGTTGATCATGAGGTGCATGATAGTTTTGGGCATGAGGTCTCTGATGGTCTTGTTGACGATACCAATGTAAGAGTCCACCAGGTTACGGATGGTCTCCACCTGCCTCTCCAGCTGAGGGTCCATAGAGAAGGTGTCGGCTGGAGCAGCCTCTTCTGACTCCACCTACACATACACATCCCAGTTTCTTTACAACCACTTCTTTTTTGCCTTTGATCTAAGTTTAAGAATGATCATGAATTTTAAAGACAACATCTAAAGTGACCTGTAGCTTTAATACGTTCCTGGTCTTATTGTGCTGAATGGATGCACTGAATGAATGAAGTGCATACTATTCTTAGGGGAAAAAATATTTTCTTTCATCTTTCATCAAAATGTAAAACCTTCCTTAACCTCTAAAACAACTTCTGCTGATCAAACCAAGATCGCATCGGTGGGAAAAAGCATTTTTTAACTATTTACTAGATAGTAGAAAACAGAAGTGATATTTGTCCACGTAAAAGCTGTGTAAATGCTGTCGCTAAGATGATTTAAGAGATTTTTTTTATATGTTGCTAAGTAGCTGCTGTATTTTGGGTGTTTTTAACATGTTGCAGTGTGAGTGTTTCTGGCTGGTTGCATACACAGATTGTTTAGTAATAACATAGTAATTACACAGTAATAATGTAAAACACCCATCTTTAACAAACTGCATAATTCCAATAACACAAATGGATGTGCTAATATATTTTCAACTGCCTAACCCCAAGTATTTATGATAATAATAGCAATGTTTGCCTTAGAGGCACTGCCACCACTACTACTAGTATTACTACTATTAATTTCATAACATATATTACCGTTTTGTATCAGTAATGTTGTTTTTGAAAGAAAGACATTTTTATTCAGCAAGAATCCATTCAATTGATCAAAAGAGACAGGAAATACATTTATAATGCTAAATAAATTATATTTCAAGTAAATGCTTTTCTTTTTAACTTTCCATTCATCAAAGAATCCTGAAGAAAATGTTAGGAACATGTGACACTGAAGACTGGAGAAATGACTGCCAAATTGGAATAAATGACATTTTAAAATACATTCATATATAATATAATTGTAATAATTCCAAAATATTAATTCAAAAGTAGTTTATTTGTTTTATATACAGTAGTCAACATTTGAAGTGGATCAGAAAAGTTAATCAAAGTTGTCCTAAGACAAGAACGCATTTTGGTTTTAGGACAACTTTGATGAAAGTTTTTGATCCACTTCAAATGTTGACTACTGTATTTATGTATGTATATATATACATTGCAATAAACGCAACCTTGGTGAGCGTAAGTGACTTGTAGTAGTTTTCTAGTAGTGTAACATCAGAATCAGAATCAGCTTTATTCGCCAAGTGTGCGCAAACACACAAGGAATTTGTTGTGGTTTTTAAGAAGCTCAATGTTGACAGTTAACATGTTGACAGTCAAAAATAAATCGTGATACAAAAGAGTCTTAAAAGGGTTAGTTCACCCAAAAATGAAAATTAGGCTGTGTTTTAGTCACCTTCAAGGCATCCTAGGTGTATATGACTTTCTTCTTTCAGACGAATCCAGTCGGAGTTATATTAAAAATTGTCCTGGCTATTCCAAGCTCTATCATTGCACTCAGCGGGTGTTGCAGTGCTTCAGTCCAAAAGAAGTGAAATAAAAAGTGCCCATCCATAAAAAAAGTGTCTCACACGGCTCCGGGGGATGAACAAAGGCCTCCTGTAGCGAATCGATGCGTTTTTGTAAGAAAAATATCCATATTCAAAACGTAATAATCGCTTGAATCTAGCTTGCACTCACTGTTGTAAACCGAAGCAGTTCCGGGCGGATGACGTATGAGGTTAAGCCTTTCTCCACGTCTCTGAGCTTCAGGTTGTCCAGAGGAAGCATGTACTTCTTCTCTTTTTCCTAGTAGAGCGGGATGAGAGAGGGAGAGTTGCAACAATCTTGTAAACCACTTCACAGTGGTATCAAAAACTGCAGCGTTCAGACATTCTAAATACGATATATAACAATGGATGTATAGAAAAGTGCTACTTGAAGATTTTTCAAAACATCTTCTTTTGTGATCATATGGGTTTGGAACGACATGACAGCGACTTAATGACCGCATTTTCATTTTTAAGTAAACTGTCCCTTTAAAGAAGGACCACCAGGTTGCCAAGCCAGAGAGGGGGATGTGAGACAGAGAGAGAAAAGAAAAAGAAGAGGAGGAGTCTGGATGAGGACTAATGCTGCCAACTCGTTCTGTTGAGTTGAGAAGCAGCATCTGGAAACATTTATGTCTGCACAGCTACGGTCCCAACAGTTACATCACACAGAGGAACACTTCCCTGCCCCCAACACACACACACACACACACACACA